ATGTTAATTTTTATGAAAACTTGAAGTAGATATAACACTAAGATTTTAATGTTGTTTGTAAAGACCAGCTAGCATACTCTCAAAAATTTGAAAAAAAAGTTGGACTTAAAATCAGAAGTAAAGAAAAAAAATGGCAGAACAGCATCACAGGCTCCTAACTACTAGATACAATTCTTTAAGAGATCATAATAACAACCAATAATGAAAAAAAAAAAAACCTAAAGTGAATTACTTAAACATGTTTCTTTCTTGAACTTGTACATCCATTGCTGGCATTATAATTAACTCTAGTGTTACAAATAATTATGCTTGACTAATTAAGTTTTTTATTCTATTTGTTTTTTGTAAATGTTTTTATCTGTATATTTGTCATGCACTTGTTGTCTGTGTGAACCATAAGTTTTAATTTTTTTTACTAAAACCGTAAGTAAAAACAACATGTTCTGATAAAGAATTTAATGAAATGCACAACACTAATTCTTAGTTCAACCTAAAAAAAACTGTTAGTTGCAAGAATATTTCAATGAACTTTTAAGAGGTCAAGGTTACTACAGGAAAATATCTGAACTCATGTTATATTGTTGACTACTACAGCGGCTGTAAATAATCACAGATGAACACAACTTAAACATTTCAATTTGAGCATTCTACAGTAATCAGTAAATTTCTGATTTTAGTTGTGAATTATACTGAAATACCGGATTTTTTGTTGTTGTTGTTGTTTTCTTCCAGGTTGTGATAATTTTATTAAAAAAAAAAAGGTTCTAAGACTTAATTTCTGCATTTCATGAAACATTTTCACTGACTTCAGGGAAAAGCTGATACAAAAGTTCTGGATTTACATGGTGTCAGTGTTGCATTATATATATATATATATACTTGTATGAGCTAGTCCTGGAGAGATGTGATAATTAAATAAACAGAAATAGAGGTAGGAGTGAAGTTGGTAAATCAGTAAGAACACGTCCTTTCGACAAACTATGTTTATCTTGGTGGTCTCAACAACACAGTAAAATAGTTCTGATATCAGTATTTAATAGCTTAAATTTTATTACACTGGGTTGTTGTTTGGTTGGTATGGTATTTAAATTGTTCAACAGGAGAATACAAGTTTTGTGTAAGAACCCCCTTTTCAAGTTGGGATTATGAAATCTAATTTGGAAGGATATTTGTGTTCTTTATTTTAGTACAGGTTCGTGTTGTATGGAATATTGTGCCTTACTACTGAATAAAACCAACGTTTAGCATTATTTGTGTTGGTGGAGAGAATATTCTGTTTTTTTAGGTAGTCGAACTACGAAACGTTAAGATATTTATTAAATATTTCAAAGAACTTTTGTTGAATCCTGTATTATGATCTTGCACTATGTAAGGTATTAACGTTAAATCTTGTACATGAAAAAACAAACAGGAAAATGATCTTGCTTTGAAATATTACATTAACTTGTGTTAGGAAATTACTGTGAAGGACAATTTTAGGAGTTAAAATTATTATAAAAATTTTAGAAAGATACCTTATTGACTCTGAGAAGAAAGGCTATGCTACCATAAGAATAAAAACAGTAGTACTTATATCTGTGAAAGTGTACCTATAGAATATACTATATATTGTTTGTAGTTAAGCAAAAAGCTACACAATGGGCTATCTGTGCTGTGCCCACCATGAGTATCGAAACCCAGTTTTTAGCATTATAAGTCTGCAGACATACCACTGAGTCACTGGGGCTAGACTATCTAAAAACATTAATTGAGTATGCACCAAAATAAACGTAAAACGAGTTATAAGGAAGATAATGATCCCATTATTATTTTTTTATATACACTTAAAAACACTAAAGTATAAACTTTGTTAGTATTTTTTTTTATTTTTCATAACCTTCTGAATAGTATTTTCTTTGCCTTAGTGTTTAATTCACAGTTGATTTAGGTAGCTTGCATATTATTGTCAGGTTTTATATGTGTAGGTGTGTGGGCAGGATTCTTTACAGTAGGTGTCTGTGACTTGTTGGTGATAAATTTCAACAATATATGGACAGCACACAATCCACTTGTTGTAAAGTAATATTATCTTAACAAATCAAACGTATGTACAAAGATTCATTACACTATTGGTTATCACAGTTGTATCCAGAGCTTTAAATAACTGTCTCTTTTTCATCAAATCCACATAGGCAGGTTCAATTACTTTAGAACACCCTTTGACATGACAAATTATTCTCCTCTACTCTGTTATTACAATACAAGCTGTGAAACTCACTTTAAAAACTGCCCATTATGGCTAAACTTGCACGTAGTCTAATTTCACTTTGTCACTTTTTACTTACTTGTTTGGACGCATATTTATATTTATCTCAACTAATGCCTAGATCTTTCTACAAACTACGAGACGTTATGATGTAACATTACTGACTTAAAGCAAAAGGAAAAATTCAGTAGGTTCCAATACTGAACTACACAACAAATGATTCATAAACATTTACCTAAGCAAATCATTTATTGCTTTTAAAAATATGAAATGTAACACTTGCACATTATAGCTATCTAGATCACAACTCTTGTATTAAACTTAAATGAAACAGTCGTGTTTATCAAAGAATTATACCTAGGAATGCTGTTTTAATTTACTCTTAAGCTATCTCATATTGAGCTTCTCTTACTTAATATAAGGCATATGTTTCGAAACATTATAGTGTTGCATGTTAAATCATAATCGGTACCTTTGTGTAACCAAAGTAATACATCCGTACTGTATACAGACTTTATATTATCAAAATACTTTTTTTAGAATGTTCTACATATAAAAAAAATTTTAAATACATGCATGTTGTTTTTGAGATTACATAGTTCACAATTTTCTGATCTACTTCATGAATAACTTCTTCACATAAATCTGTTTTTTAGAAATATTAAACTGTATTATCTCGATAAGCTTAACAGATAGTTTAAAATTTTTTGGAAAATTTTCCTTGTTGTTATGCAAGAGTGGAGAAGAACAGCAAAGATATTACAACATTATTATAATGGACCATGAAACTAATGAACAAGCTGTTGTTTAAAACATTACTCAGTTTGTGTGTATGTTTCTTTTTTTTGGAAAGGATGCTGAAGTTTCTTTTCACAAATTAAATTGTATTAAATTATTGGCCCTCAGTACAAACTGGTTGCCAAAGATAGGATGTATTGCTACCATGTCATACAGTTTCCATATGTATTCTCAGTACAAACTGGTTGCCAAAGATAGGATGTATTGCTACCATGTCATACAGTTTCCATATGTATTCTCAGTACAAACTGGTTGCCAAAGATAGGATGTATTGCTACCATGAATACATATGGAAACTGTATGACATGGTAGCAATACATCCTATCTTCGACAACCAGTTTGTACTGAGAATACATATGGAAACTGTATGACATGGTAGCAATATATCCTATCTTCGACAACCAGTTTGTACTGAGAATACATATGGAAACTGTACGATATCTTCGACAACCAGTTTGTACTGAAGGATGTATTGCTACCATGCCATACAGTTTTCATATGTATTCTCAGTACAAACTGGTTGTCGAAGATAGGATGTATTGCTACCATGTCATACAGTTTCATATGTATTCTCAGTACAAACTGGTTGTCGAAGATAGGATGTATTGCTACCATGCCATACAGTTTTCATATGTATTCTCAGTACAAACTGGTTGTCGAAGATAGGATGTATTGCTACCATGTCGTACAGTTTCCATATGTATTCTCAGTACAAACTGGTTGCCAAAGATAGGATGTATTGCTACCATGTCATACAGTTTCCATATGTATTCTCAGTACAAACTGGTTGCCAAAGATAGGATGTATTGCTACCATGTCGTACAGTTTCCATATGTATTCTCAGTACAAACTGATTGTCGAAGACAGGATGTATTGCTACCATGTCGTACAGTTTCATATGTATTCTCAGTACAAACTGGTTGTCGAAGACAGGATGTATCACTACCATACCATACAGTTTCCATATGTATCCTCAGTACAAACTTGTTTGTGAAAGTCGAGATGTATCACTACCATACCATACACTTTTCATATGTATTCTCAGTACCAGCTGGTTGTCAAAGGCAGGATGTATTGTTTTCATACTATACTACCTGATATTATCTAGTTTAGCTAGTGAAACTTGCTACTTTCTGATGCTATCTAGTTTAGCTAGATTCACTGCTTCTGGATACCATCTGTCTAATGCTTATGAGGGCACTTAAGGTTACCACATGAGTGTGTATTACTGGACACTTTCATCCTGTGTAAGGCTTATGAGGGCATCTAAGGTTACCACATGAGTGTGTATTACTGGACACTTTCATCCTGTGTAAGGCTTATGAGGGCACCTAAGGTTACCACAGGAGGGGTATTACTGGACACTTTCATCCTGTGTAAGGCTTATGAGGGCATCTAAGGTTACCACATGAGTGTGTATTACTGGACACTTTCATCCTGTGTAAGGCTTATGAGGACACATAAGGGTACCACAGGAGTGTGTATTACTGGACACTTTCATCCTGTGTAAGGCTTATGAGGGCACCTAAGGTTACCACAGGAGCGTGTATTACTGGACACTTTCATCCTGTGTAAGGCTTATGAGGGCACCTAAGGTTACCACATGAGTGTGTATTACTGGACACTTTCATCCTGTGTAAGGCTTATGAGGGCACCTAAGGTTACCACCAGACTGTGTATCACTGGACACTTTCATCCTGTGTAAGGCTTATGATGGCATCTAAGGTTACCACCAGACTGTGTATCACTGGACACTTTCATCCTGTCTAAGGCTTATCAGGGCACCTAAAGTGTTACCACAAGAGTATGTATCACTGTTTGAGTGGAATGTTTCAAGCTTTGTCAAAGTACACCTTACGGTAATATCTGGAATACATTATTTGAGAAACATATGACCATCACATCTATTCAAGACTAGAGTTTTTATTATGTATACGAACATTTCGAAAAATAAAATATGCAAATACTGAAACTACATTATCATCAAGTAATAAGTTACTCGTCTGTTATCGACATTTCCTAATCACTCATTAACGGCTTCTGCTTTACTCGAAGCATGTCTGTATAAATCAGTTCTTCTTCAGCCATTTTCACGCACGTGTCATTATCTTCTCTCGCTTTCAGTTTCGTTACTTTTGAGTTTCTATAAACGGGTTTTTTACCATTTTTGATATTAATAACTAAGTTTTCACCTTGAACGCAAAAGTTAAACCACAGTTCTCTTCTTTTTCGGAGTTCTCTCACTTCAGCAGCAAGTTTTTGTTCTCCGAAATTCTGAATTTTTTCGGCAAGTTTATCCTTGAAGAAACTATATAGGACGTAATCAGCATAATTAACCTTTTCAAGCTGCAGACGAAGTCTTGAATCGATTGGCTTAACAAATTTCTTGTCTCGGGTGTTCAGTTTAAAAACAGTCACGTCATCAGTTTCCCAACATAAAAGATTCTTTAGAAGAACCAATGATTCATCCATCTGTTCAGCGATCATCACTAGATTAAACCTACTGTTTATCTCTTTGGCGAATTCCATTAAAACCGTTACGTTTTCGAAATCTTTCTCGTCCATACCTAAGTCAAATGACATCTGGTTTATTCCTATTCTGCCGGTAAACCGCTTGTTTATGTCCCGCTTTGTTTTATTAACACCAAAGTTGGATACAGGTGTTCCGTAGAAATATTCTAACGTGTAATAAGAATAAAGCGACTCAAATAATTCCGCTGGATCTCTCAGGATTGTAATAAAAATGGCGTCTTCTGGCACCACACGTTTTAATTCGGAGTAGTTAAACCTAGTGTGGTGTGCGATGATATTATAACGAGTGTTAACAGCGGAGGGCTTAAGTTTGAGGGCCATATTATGATGAAAAGGGTGAGGGTGGCCCAAGTAATTTCCTGTTTTGGGCAGAACAAACAGTAAGTCGTGACGATCTCCAAACCGCATGATGATGTTTTGTATACTTGAACTGGCGGCCTTGTGGGTTTTGAGAAACACGATATCAGTTTTCTTTGTGCATTTTGGTAGGTGGTATTCAGGAATGTTGTTTTTGAAAATCCTGAAATAAGATAGATTTAAAAATATTAAGAAACTAATACATTCAGAATTTTTAAGGCATATTGTCATGTGATAAGTGGGCCATGTGTATTTTCAGTCCGAAATAAAACCATTTAAACTCTCCTAGCACAGTTCTGAGGTTTTGGAAGATTGTTTGAAGAATATCTAGCCCCTGTACCCCAGTGGGTCAGTGGAAGGCCGCAGGCTTACGACTCTTAAAAACTGGGTTTCGATACCCGTGGTGGGAAGAGCACAGTTAGCCCATTATGTAGCTTTGTAACCAAGAACAATCAAACCCATTAACTTTAGGCTATGTCTTCAATATTTTGAATTATTCTTTCTCTAAACCAGACTTTCCCAAAGTATTGTTCGCGACCCCAGTAGGGTCGCAGAACGTATGAATTGAGGTAGCCAGCACTCCAGAAAATATTATATTTTTCTAAATGTACAGAAAAAAATTAACAATGTTTTATATTGTATACCATTTCGACTAATAAGAGTAACATAACTACAATAATGACAATTTTTATGAAGCTTTTTGCCATGTTTCTGCGAATTGGGGGTTTTCTTGTTAGTGCAACATAAGAGAAACGAGCGTAATCAGAACAATGAATACGACAAAGAAGTCTACCTCTAAACTTGGGGAAACTCTCCGGTAGCTCTATGATAATTCTGAAGGCTTTTCATGCTAAAAAGTTTCAATACCCGCGCTGGGAAGAACACAGACAACCCATGGTGTAGCTTGGCGCTTAACAACAAATAAACAAACGTTTGGGGAGCCTATGCTAAGACAAGCGGTTAGCTCACGATAAAAATGTCGAGTCAAAGTACTACTTTAGCCGGCGTAATAGAATTTATGTAATTTAATAATCCAACGTGTTACATTCCATTTTATTAATGAAAAGTTTGATAATGCAAGCTTGTTCTTCAGTAATTCCTGTACGCTAAATCCGAAAATCTATCACGCACAGATTTTTCATAAAACGTCATAACGCAACACATAAAAGAAAGACCACAACACGTAACTTTGAGACTAA